ACATATTTGTCTACTTGTGAAATGTGATGAGTCGTATATGCCAACAGGAGGATAACCCAATTTCTGCTTTCAAAATGAAAAGGTTTTATCTTGGTTGGGGTTGGTTGTATTTTGGGGTCTTTTTAAGCACTTGATACGTATCCCACATTGCCGTTGTTCCTTGGAGACATCTCACCTGGTGAGACGCACGCGTTCACGTGCCTGTGCTGACAGCTCCTCTTGGCTGTCCCTCCTGGCAGGGTTGGTGTTTTTAAGGTGAGGGTCAGAGGTCTGTTTGCAAAAATCAAAAAGAGAAGAAAGAACCAGGCAGTTAGGTGCTTCAGGGTTTGTAAATGCAGGCACCAGTGTGCTGCCTGCGTCGGTTTTTGCAGGTGTCCACAGGGACTGTGTGTATTCCCTGCCTTCGTCCATCCAGGCTGGCTTTACCTTCGGAAAACTGCGACTGTTCCCGGTACATCATTAACAGCTTCAGGAGCTCCACGTGCCTCGCTGGAGGTTGAAATAACCCAGTCATCTATCAGGAGGCAAGTTCAAAGTAAAGGCAAGAAGGTCCTTCATGCAGTGCGGCGTGAGAGGTGGATCCATTGCCACCGCACATGAAGGCAATTAACAGTTTGCAGGGATCCGGAAGTGATTAAGCAGATTTGTGACAGAGAAATCCAATGAGCGCTTATTAAATTGACAAACATCACCTCCTTCTCCAGCCAGAAAGCCCCCGTTTCAGGGATAGCACTGGACCTATTCATAGCGCAGCACAGGTTTCAGCCTTGGAAGCAGGACCCGGCTATATTTGGTGCTATATTTATACGCAGGCACCCTGCACATGCATCAGCTGTGCTCTCTGGCCCCAAAATCGTCTTGGGTAGGTAATCCTAAGTTAGAAGGTAGTTTCACATCCCGCCTTCATTCAGCCTCTCACCCAGGAAAGAGTCCCGTAGTGAAAATTGGGATTTTCTGCTTCAGGGGTGCCGGCAGCTCCCATCCCTTCCCAGTGCACGGGTCACAGGGCTGGGATGGGAGCTGGCTCCTTAGGGCCTTCGTTGTCAGTTATTATTTTAGCTCATCTCCAAAAGGAGATGTCAGTGCAATGACGGCAACAGGCAGCACAGGGATTTTGGGGAGTTTCAAAGCGGCAAGGTGGAGTTCCTAACTTGGGGGCTTTCTCTCTGCTCAGATTTACCTGTTGCAAATATCAAGTCTTGCCATCCCTTAGAGCAGCGAAAGCCTTGTGATGGGAAGCATCAGGCACCCTTGGAAGCAGCACCCAGGGGAACTAATGAAGCCGTAATGTGATTAGTGCCCGCAGCCCCGTACACCACCGCAGGCAGCGTGCCGGGACCCTGGGAGGTGGGAGCCCAAAACTGGGACACATCCTAACGGTGACTGACCCAGGGAGGGGGGATCGTTCTGGCGATAAAGGGTGAGGCATCCCCGATGTCCGGGAGTGCGTGGCAGCAGGTAGGGAGCTGAAGTGGGGGCTCCTGTGTTTGGGGAGAGGGTGGAGAGGGGCTTCGGGGGGGGTCGCTGGCCCCTCTCCCCCTGCCCAGAGGTAGCTCCAGCTTTCCTCCTCCCGCGCCGCCCTCTCCAGATCCCTCTATTTTCTGGCAGATAGGATTAAGCCTGACCTTCCACCCTGTCTCTGAGAGCGCCAAACCTCTTTCTGATCTAATTATTTTCCATTTTCGTTTAATTGTGCACATCCTGCTGCTGGCTGAGAAGGAGAGCAGCTCCTGCCCGGGCCAGGGCAGGGAAGGGCGCCCGGCTCCTCACCAGCCACTGGCTTTCGGATCAGTGCTCCATCTTTTTGGGGCTGTGATTTCAAACCCCCAAATCTCTCGGAGGTCTGAGGCAAATTTCCCAAGAAGCGGCTCTGGCACCGTCCTGTGTTTCTCCAGTGGTGACCTTCACGCCCAGCCCCTCCCCGTGCGAGGAAGAGGAGTCTGGCCATGGCCACCTGCCTCCCCCATCCTCCTCCTCCTCCCCTGTGCCCAGTTTGCACCGGGCTCTGCTTTTTCTGCATGTATTTTGCTACCTGGTTCCTACGTACCAGTGGCACCGATTTCTTTTAGCAGTGCCTTGCATGCCTTTTTTTAGTGTTCTTTTGATTTCTCAGTTTATCCAAGCTGCTGCAAAATCCCGCAGCCTCTCCCCGCAGATGGTGCTGGGCTGGGGTTTGGCTGTGCCAGCCTGAAAGCGCTGCCGAATCGCCCCGACGGCAATGATAAACCGTGGAGGTGATAAGGGAATGGGTGACATCCCTCTGCAGGAGGAGGGGAGAAAATAAGGTGGGTTTTCAACCCAAGAGGGTTGAAAGGAGGGGAGGGAAAGGGGACAGAGAAACCAGATTAAGCACAACAGGAAGCTTTGCCTGTAGCGTTACATCTGCATATGGAAAATACAGAGATGCTCTGGTGAACCTTGAGTCCCATGACGCCCATGTGTTTTTTACAACTTCCATTAGCTGGAGCGTTGGTTTTCCAAATCCCATTTTTTAGCACCAAAACCAACCTCACAGCATCTCCGCGGGCGCAGGAGCGCACCCAGAGTACCAAAATTCTCTTCTGCTGCAAACAAAGCGGTTCCTTCTCCACCAAAGCTGTGTGACGCCATGTCCCTTGCACCCCTCGGCACAGCGGCACGAGATGGCTTGGGCACGCCGTCGGCCGGGTCGGGAAACAGCTCTGGAGGAGGGGTGGGTCTGCGGAGAAGTAAATACCACCGCAGAAAGTTCCAGCGAGAGCTGTCGGTGTTTCCAGCAAGCCATCTAGTGGCTTCCTATTATAAACGGTTGCACGCCTTCAAACTGGGATGGCGAAGCCGGAGGGGCGAGTGAAGCTCACCACCGCAGTCGTGTCGGGGAACCGACGTGCAGGGTTTGGTCCTGATTGGGAAAAGGCCCCACGGTAATAGCCCTCTCCTGGGTCACGGCGTGGGGGGGTGGTGGAAGGCTTGGGTTAGCTGCTGGATGGCAGCGGGGGTCTTCCCAAGAACAAATCTGATGGACATCCAGATCTTCATTTCACTGGTGTGGGTTCGGTTACCCTAGCTCAAAACGACATGAAGGATATGGGGATAATCAATGATTTAGCGCAGCTTCCTCTACAGTATGGATAGGAGACAGAAGACAGGGAGGGAGAATGTAAGGTTTTGGGGTTTTTTTAATAACATGAGAGCTCAGGGCATTTCACTTGGTGAGGTTTTGGGCAGTGGGTTTAAAGCAAACAGAAGGAGGTCCTTTTTCACCAGATGGTTCAGTTGTGGCACCCTTAGGCACAGCCTGCTACAGGGACTGAAAGTCTGAAGGCTTCATGGAGGGGTTTGGTAAACGCTGGAGGAGAGAGTGACCTGGGGCTGGGAAGTGTCAGTTGGGTGCTCTCGGTAGATCCTGAGCTATCCTTGGCTGGTGTTTGTATAAGCTGGTCAGAAAAACCTCTGGCGATGGAGATTTCACAATGTCTGTAGGCAATCTCTCCCCGCGCATCACTAGCCCTACCTGTAGGAGGTAGTTTCTTCACGTCCGACCTCATTCACCTTTGCTGCAATTCCAACCTATTACTGCAATCCCCAGGAGACATGGAGAGCAGCTTGTCTACGCCGGTCTTCACCTCTCAAGACAGATGACAGGCTGGCTGGTGCGGTTTTTATGTGCGACATGGCATTTTGGCTGATGTTCAGCCTGTGATGCTTCCTGACCCCAGGCTCTTCCCCGCCTGGTACCGCACAGCGATTTGTTCCCACCTGCATGCAGGTGTTTGCCCCTACTTAATGTAGCTGGGTTTTTTTCCTAACTTTTCTCCAGGTCTCAACATCGTTTGACTTTTAATCCAGTCTTCTGGAGTGTTTTCATTTCTCCTAGCGTGACACCTGCACATTGAATACATTTATCACGTCACCCGTATCATCGATGACATACTGGGTAGTGTCAGAGCCAGGACGAGTCTCCTTGCTCAGCACATCCTCCTAGTCCGATGGTGAATCACCAGTAATGACTCTCTCCGTATGGTTTTCTGATGAGTTGTGTGCCCACATTAGAGTAGCTTCGCCTGAGCGTGTTTCTCTGGTGTGCTGCTGAGGAAGCCATGTGCAGCAGCACCTAATGAATATAAAGATATACGGTGCTGACTGCTTCTCCGGCTATTCACAGGCCAGTTACTCTGTCGCAGAAGGAAATTAAATTGTTCTTGACAAATCGGTGTCGGCGGTCACTTATCATCTTGTTATCTTCTAAGTGCTTACAAATAGGTTGTTTCATTATTTGTTCCATCAGTTTTCCATGAAGTTTGAGTGAAGTGACCGGTTTGTAATTCCCTGACTTTTCCTTTTGCATATTTTTAAAGCTAAACCCTATGTTTGCTTTTATTCTGGCCTTCTAAAACCTCTCCTATCTGCCGTCAGCTAACAGAGGAACAATAGCTCTGTGGCTGCTTCAGCTGAGCCCTTCCCTCAATACCTTTGGGGCAGCTTATCGTGCCGGGCTGGCGGATGGACCAACACCTCGGCTTGGGTATTGCCCTCCTGCTGGGGTGCTTCTTCCCTTCGCCCTCTGTGCCTCTTGCCTGTGTTAGCTCATTTGAATTGTGACCTTTTCCATTTTCCACCCAGTGCTTTTAAAAGGTTAAGTTTATCCACGTAGAGGTTTCGCGTAGTATTTTGTGTAATCTGCAACAATATGGAAAATTTGGCCGAATCGTGGCTTTGATTAACATTAGGACAACAGCAGTGGAGCTACGTGGCCGTAGAGGTGGGTATAATTCTGCTTTTTGAGTGATTTTCAGGAGTGTCTGGTAACTCTCGGTGTCCAATTCAGCACACCTTGCCGTGACCTTAGTTCTTGGAGAGTGGTGACCCCCCCATTCCTGGGAGATGCTCACGCGGTGGCATCACGCATGCAGGCATCCCATTGGCATGTCGTATTTACCCTGCGAGGGTCTGTTTATTTCTTTATTGGCTCTGCCGATTTCTCAATTCTCTTTTTTTTTTTCCCCCTATTCCTTCAACAGGAATCATTAACCAATGGCAACAGGAATCCAAGGATAAAGTGATTTCCCTATTGTTAACCCACCTGCCTTTACTGAAGCCCGGAAACATTGAGGCAAAAGTCGAATACATGAAACTCTTGCCTAAAATCCTGGCCCACTCGATCGAACACAACCAACACATCGAGGAGAGCAGGCAGCTGCTGTCCTACGCCTTGATACACCCGGCCACCTCCTTAGAGGACAGGAGCGCCCTGGCCATGTGGCTCAACCACCTGGAGGACCGCACGTCGGGTGGCTTCGGCAGCCAGAGCAGAGGTCGGTCGGATTCGGTGGACTACGGGCAGACTCACTACTATCACCAAAGACAAAACTCCGACGACAAACTCAACGGATGGCAAAACTCTCGAGACTCGGGCATAAGCGTCAGCGCTTCCAGCTGGCAGGACAAAAACCTGGCGTGCGAGAACGGCCATCTGCCCCTCTACTCCTCCTCCTCCGTCCCCACAACCATCAACACCATCGGCACTAGCACAAGCACCAGTAAGTACCCACGGGAAGCTTTGGGGACGGCCACCCACGGCTGCTCTTCACAGCACAGTCCCCCCCATCCCACTAGAAAATACTGCTTTGCTGTGGTTAGCAGAGGGGCTAGGTACATCTGGGCCATAGAAAACTTTTTTTTTCCCCTTTCCCCTACCTGCTTTTTTATTTCCTGCCTGCCCTTCCCCCCCCCAACCCCGCTCTCTAGTCCTGTGGGATTTTAAAGACCTGGCAGCTGGAGAGGAGGGAAAAACAGCCAAGCTGTAAGAGCAAAAAATGTGCATTATCGGAGGGAGCCCCTTTTATTTCGTGTAGCTCCGTGGAGATTTGCAGTTCGCGTTTCAAGAGGTCCTAAAGCAAGCGGGGAGCTGATGCTTCGTGTCCAAAAGTGAGCAGGGGGACTTGAGGCAAGTCCAAAAGTGACCTGGGGACTTAATGGGAGAAAATGGGATTGGGGCCCTGAAGCCCAGGGATCGTTTTTGGAAGCGGGGCTGGAATCCACGATCTTCAGGGCATATCTGAAAACGTTGCCTTGTATCTGCAGCACATAGAGGTGTGAAGCTGGTGGTGATCAGGGGGTTTAGATGCACAGTCCTCAGTGTTTTCCAGGAGAGTTGGGTAGCTCTTCCCCCATGGAGACCCTGCCAGGCTTTGATGGGAGCAGTGGATGGTGCAGAGCCCAGCCCAAGGACTGGACACTCGGAGACGCTGCAGAGCACCATGGCTGGGGATTTATCGCCGCTTTTGCGTGAAGATGTAGTGCAGCTATAGCTGTTTTTTAAAGCAGCCGTTGATGCCTGTGAGCCATCCGTGCGAGAGGAGGAGCAAAGCATCTTCTCAGCGGGGTTCAGGAGCTCCTCTGCCCACCCGCTCCCTCTGTGGAGGCTGTCACGCCTGCCTTGCTGTCACCTTGGGTGACTGCCACCATCTCACCTGCAAGGCTGGACGTCCTCCTTCGCTTTGAGGCGTTCATGGAATCATAGAATCATAGAATGGTTTGGGTGGGAAGGGACCTTTAGAGGCCACCCAGCCCAACACCCTGCAGTGAGCAGGGACATCTCCAACCAGCCCAGGGTGCTCAGAGCCCCGTCCAACCTGGCCGGGAATGTTTCCAGGGATGGGGCATCGACCGCCTCTCTGGGCAACCTGTGCCAGTGCCTCACCACCCTCAGCGTAAAAAATTCCTTCCTTATGTCCAGTCTAAATCTCCCCTCCTTTAGTTTAAATCCATCACCCCTTGTCCTGTGACAACAGGCCTTGCTAAAAAGCTTGCCCCCACCCTTCCTATGGCCCCCTCTCAGCACTGCCAGGCCGCACTCAGGTCTCCCCACAGCCCCCTCCTCTCCAGGCTGAGCACCCCCAGCCCCCCAGCCTGGCCCCGCAGCAGAGGGGCTCCAGCCCTCGGGGGTCTCTCTCAAGACGCTCGGCACCTCCCTGGATACACGGGCTGCAGAGAGCGCTTCGGGGAGGAGCAGCTTCTTGCAGCAAGGGCTCTGGCTTCTCTGTCAGCCTGTGGAAACCCACAATTAAAAAGCTGAAAGCTGTAAAATGGTCACTTAAGGCTTCTGGGTTTTTTCCTCTCCTGTAATCGGTGCTTTTTTTAGGTGCTGTTTCAAATCAGTGATGATAAGAAACGCGGCTCTGGGTTTATTGCTGTAGCACTCTGGTCCCTGCCTCTCCAGCGTCCATCCTTGCAGGCAGCGCTGCCTGCTCTGCCACGTGGGGATTTAGCAGAAGGGTCTCAGCTTCTCCACCGGCCCTGAAACATCACGCCCATCCCGTCCCCCATCTTTGAAGCCCTGGCTCCTGCTGCCGTGGGATTGTGTGAGGTTTGGCTTCTCCGAGAGCTGGGGCCCTGCGCTGCGGAGCAGAGCTGTTTCAGGGTGGCCAAGCTGCATAGGAAAGGCTTAACAAGGAGGCAGGGTGAGAGGAATCGTGAATGCATTTGAAATCGGTCTGTTGAACCTCCCCAGGGATGATTTTTTGAGAGGTTCTTCCTTGTGGTATCTGCATGCCTGGCGGTTCGGAGGCTGTGCATGTCGGGGAGGCAGTGGGAAGAGGTGGCTTCCGAAGGGATCTGGTTCCTCGCGTCGAGAGCTGGAAGCGGGGACGTCTGATAGGTGCAGCAGGTTAATCATTGACAGTGGCTGGAGCTCTGCAATATGCATTAGGTCTTGAAGGGTGCTTTTCAAAACCCCATTTGTGTTTCTTTGAGTCTTTTTGCACACAGACTTATCTCGTAGCAGAAGCAGCGACCCGCCTCTTGCCCAACGGGGTCCCCAAGTATTAGCAGAAGGTGCTGAAACCCAGGCAACAGCCAAATTACTCAGCAGTGCCCAAGCTGCCACACTGCTGAGGTTTTTCCTAAATTCTCTAGAATTAGGTGTGCACAGCACTGGAACAGGAGCATTTGGGGGTCTGTCAGCAGGGGTTGTACAGCCCTGCACTTGACCTTGGTCTTTTCCTGGAAGGCTGCGTCCCTCCTCCGTCTCTGCCGCTCGCTTTGCCGCAGCATCCCCTGCCGTAAGTCCTGGTGCAGTAGACCTTGCCCGGTCCGGTCCTTCCCGGCATCCCACGGTGGCTGCTTTTCATGGTGCCGGGGCAGCTCGCTCGCGCTGTCTTGCTCTGAGCTGCAAGATTTATAGAGCCCATATTCAGGGAACCTTTTCCCCAGGCGTCACACCGGGGTCAACACGTATTTCTAAGGCTGAGTAGCTTTGCAGAGGCATCTGAACACATCTCCAGGCCATTCTACTCCTAAATGTGCAGCTGTTGTAACTCCTGCGAATGTATTTTGGTGACAGCATGTTCAGACAACCTGCGGGCTGAGCTGGAGACGACCCGACCACGCTTCATGTGTTAGTTCATAAGCTTCCTTAGTGCAATATTTGCTCGGACACAAGCACAGTAAGTCCACAGACAGATGCTAAAAAATAAACACGGCTGTCAGCCTTTGTCCCAGCCCCTTGAGTCAATCAATATGTCCATTAATCTTTTATTCCAAAGCAAAGCCTTCAAACCGTTACTGTTTGTTTAGGTTTTAGTGTTGTTATTTTTAAATTCTCCCTCTTACTTGGAAGTGTTATCTGGGCAGGGGCTTAATCCAGCAACACCCTGCAGGGCACAGCCTTCCCCGACCCGTCCCTGCAAAGGCGCTGCCTGTTCCTGATGCCGAAACGGGGCAAAGTCTTTCCCGGAGGAGTAATGTGGTGATCTTGCCCGAGGTACTTTCGTCTGGTTTTGTGGCATAATTAGGTGTAATGCTATTACAGTGTCGGGTTTAAATATGGGTAGGTGAAGCTCACGTGACAATTTGCTTTGTGCTGTCCTTGTCTTTGACTCAACCTAGACCCAGGCTTTGAGACTTGTTTCAGGCTTGCTTCATCTCCAGCTCTCTCTTAACAGTGCTGGCTGGTGTTAGCCAAGGTTTGAGGAGATGGTGCTGGAATTCTCCAGCCTTTGCAGGGCAAGCCTGGAGCACTTTGAAAGCATCACTCTGGATTTACCACAGTGTCGTGGTTTAGACCCAGCCAGCAGCTCAGCACCACGCAGCTGCTCTCTCACTGCCCCTGCCCCGATGGGATGGGGGAGAGAATTGGAGGAGTAAGAGTGAGAAACACTCCTGGATTGAGATAAGAACAGTTTAATAATTGAAATAAAGTAAGATAGTAATGATAATAATAACACTATAATAATGATGATAATAATATACAAAGCAAGTGATGCACAATGCAATTGCTCACCACCCGCCGACCGATACCCAGACGGTTCCCGAGCAGCGATCGCTGCGCCCCGGCCAACCCCCCCAGTTTCTATACTGCCCATGACACCGTATGGTATGGAATAGCCCTTGGGGCAGTTTGGATCAACCATCCTGGCTGTGCCTCCTCCCAGTTTCTTGTGCACCTAGCAGAGCATGGGAAGCTGAAAAGTCCTTGACTGGCATAAGCAGTACTTAGCAACAACTAAACATCAGTGTGTTATCATCATTCTTCTCATCCTAAATCCAAAACACGGCACTATGCATGCTACTAGGGAGAAAACTAACTCTATTACAGCCGAAACCAGGACACACAGTAATGGTGATTCAGGAGCGGGACCAGTGTCATAAGGGATAGGTTTGGGTCTGGAGCGATCTGAGGGTATGGACTCAACCAAAGCGATGGAAGTTCATGCCCATCCGCTGCATCACCATAATGGCCTCTCTCTGCTTTCTCAGCCCAGCCCGCAGAGCTTGAGCTGCAACTTTAAACCAAGCTTTAGTGTGCCAGGAGTAAAGGTAGCCTCGGCATGGGCTTGGGAGCGCAGGTGGGCAGGAGGCCAGAGCTGCTCCAGGCGTGGTGGGACAGGGTGAAGCCCAGAGCCCCGGCTCTGCGGCCGAGTCAGGCAGTGGTTGCAAAATGCCTGGGTTGCACAACACCTTTGCAGTCGAGACGGGGCCTGGAAACTCTGAAAGGACAGAAAAAAGCGGCTGGCTTTCAAAGATGCAGACCAAGAGCTTCTCACGTGGGGTCTCGGGTTCCTTCCTTTCCCTTGTGTAATTGATTCCACCTGAGCATGCTGTGATGGCATGCCGGGTTTGCTTGTCAAATGGAAGTACAGCATAGCTTAACCCTGTGTTTTCCACCTGCTCAGAAAGGAATATGTGCAGAGGAGAAGGAGGGTCTGCTGTTAAATATGCTTGTCCAGCGCTGAGAAGGTGGGGTGCAGGTACACTGGTCTGAATGGGACCATAAGGTCTGCAAGCAAGAAAAGAGAAAGAAAAGCACAAGGTTTGGCAGGAGTGATAGCAACTCCAGTCGGCAATAGCGAGCCTGTTGAACCACAGCTAAAGAGGTAAGGATTCGGTTCCTGGCTCTGATGTGTCTGCTGGATGAGCGTCTTGGTCTTCTGCTCCCAGTGTATAACCTGGGGATAACAGTATTACTTCTTTTATCAATGTATGGTGAGATTTTCTTATGCTCTCACCGCTGGTGTAGTGCCGGGGCACTTAAACTCCCCGTGGAGAGCAGGTTCCCAGGGGCGAGTCTCTGCACAGG